CGCTTCTAGGATGGGAACACTCATTCGCTTCTAGGATGGGAACACTCGTTCGCTTCTAGGATGGGAACACTCGTTCGCTTCTAGGATGGGAACGCTCATTCGCTTCTAGGATGAGAACACTCATTCGCTTGTAGGATGGGAACACTCCCCGGCCCAAGCCCGTAAACTTTGCACAAGCACCTTCCTCCTTTGCAAGAGCATCATCGATTGCAGTTACACTTCCTGAGCAGTCTAACATGATACACTAACTGCCGCAACTGCCACAAGCAAATTGAACGCGATATATAGCAATGGCATCTGATGACCCACAGGTTTTTTCACGAGTGTTGAACCTCTTGGCAGCCTGACCAGAAATAACAAGCGTCGTTGCTCCACCTGGTTGATGCACAGAAGCCCGAAACCCCGAGTTGATCCACAGGTGGCCAGGGCCCAGCCTTGGGACTGAACGGCCTCCAAATCCTCGATTCACGATGCAAGGCAGGCGGTATCAGGAACACAGTGCTACCGAAGACCCCAAGCAGGAACGCAATTGGTCATTGTTAGAGCCCAATCATTATTGATTACTGATTGACATGAACATGATCATGCTGCTCAGGTGCACTGGTATGATCCGTGTCCTTGGGCCCGGGGCATCTAGTTGTCGCCTTCTTGTCACCGCTCAGGATGGGGTCGATGAAGTCCGGAGCAAAGTCCAGAAAAGGGACTCTGGCCTTGGAGCTGTTTTTTCAGTGCTGAACATCTAGAGTGATAACCTGAGAAGGGGGGAGCGAAAGCCACTAGAAACCATCATGCCAGTTCTGCTTGTACCACTAATTCGGCTGTGGTGGGTCACTTGCTGTTGAAATGTGATGCCCCGAACCTTCGTGTTGGAACGTCCCGAAGCCAACCTTCGGGCATCAAAGACTGACCCGAAAGAAGATTGCATTGCCAAGAAAACAACTTTCGGTACCATGTAAATGCTTTCAAACAATTAAGGGTACAGCACCAGTCAACTAGGGTTCAGTTTGACTGGGACAATGTAACAGAACCAATTAGGAGTACAATTTAATTATTGACTGTGCGTTGGCATGGCAATGCTCCACATCTGCCAATTCACTCAGCAGAGTCCCTGCCCTAAGCGGCAGTGCAATCGTCGCCCCATTGAAGTGTGGTCAATCAGTGAGACGCTTCGCTTGTGTCCATGAACATGATGATTTCTTATGTTGGACGGACTGCTGTTTTCACTTCTTCACATTCTCTGATGCAACGAGAAGGGCCCCCGCTAATTCAATCCGTGATGCCGCAACAAGTATGACCTGCATTTTCGGCATCACCAACTCACCCAAAAGGTCTCTACTAAAGCCAACCTGATTAAGTGTTCATGGTTGGTACGGTCCCCCCCACAAACCTCCTATTTAATTGCGAAGAAACTAAGTTCAGCTTAGTTACTGGCTGGCTTTCATAATCAAAGCCTTTGAAGAATGTCTTCCGATGCTGCAAAAAGGCAACAGGACATGTCAAGCTGAGCGTGTTACTAAGCCAGCGCACTTTCACGTGCAACATCACACATGCCCAAACGACAGGAATCACAGCCCTTCCCAAGCTGAGTAGCCGCATTTCTCTTGAACACCTGGCCGGAGAAGTTGAATGAACAGCAGCAACTGTCACATACTGACGCTTGTGGAGTAGCCATGACCCGGTCCCAAGCAAGGCTCAGCCTCATGAGCCTCATGCGTTGGCTCGCTCATGGCGGATGCAGTTCAATAAAGTCACCCAATCAACTCGCTCTTGCCAAATCATTGCCTCAACCCTGAGCAACACTGCCAGTTTTGCCAAGAACATTCGAGAACTGCTGACTTGACTCAATTTGATTGCTTGTGCCGACTTCTTGAAGCTGGGAGGCCGTGCGAGAGAGTAGCGGCATGGTACCAAGTATCAAGCAACTACTGTGACTCAACGCCCCCTTGTCCATCGAAAGCAGCAGAAACTCTCTGGCCTTGTCTTTCAACTTGGTGCTGATCCAGCCTCTGCATTGCGCACGATGTGAGCAAATGCTGGCAGTGGCATTGAGCAATGGCACAAAGCGGCTAAGCCATACTTAATCCATTGCCTGATATTGCCTGCCAAAACATATCCGTAACTGGCCCGTAACCCAGTGTGTCGGTTCCTCAATGTTCACTGAATCATTGTGACACAGGGGGGGAGTGACTTGTTGGCTTAAAGCCGCCTACGGTACACATTGCAAAAGAATCAGCTCTGAACTATATCCGAAAATAGCTGCAATGCAGAAAAAAATCAACAGGCCATCAGGAGGGATAGATAATGATAGATACATCTGTTAGCTGATGCAAAACGGCTGTATAGGTGCGAGCAATCACTGCGGAGGCTAGAATCTTTCAGATTTCGAGTGCTTGCCAGTTTGAGCCAATCGATTGTGTTGGAATGGCTTGGTCGGCCAAATGGTGCCTTCTGCTGGACCGCTGCCAGAAACCCTCCTGCGAAACATTACAAGAAGCAGTCTGAGTCTCTATTTTGTTGTTCTCTCCTTCTTGGCGTGTTCTCCAAAACAGCTTTTTCAGCAACTCAGCTCTGCTTTCAAGGAGTCGAAAGCCAGGCTTTGCAGCTTCGGCTGCAGCCACAGTAAAGCACCGAGGCTTCATCTGTACAGGGGGCATCTGGATCGTCTGTACACGCGAGCCAAAGATCGTCTGTACACGCGGAAACTGAAACCGGAAGAACAAGAACCACCATCATTGAGCACGTACAAGGAGGATGGACATAGAAGGCAATCGGCTAGGAATGCTAGGAGCAACGAGAGAAAATATAAATACTCAACGACAAGAAGACTGACATCAACATTGAACTCTTGCATTTCAGCACTGTTTTCTTGAGTAGGTCGGCTGCTCTAGAAACAGTGTGATCAGAATATGAAGAGTCGAGTCAAGGGGAATGTAAGTTTTGGTTGCATGGGTGTATGGCGACATATGGGGCCTTTGTACTTGAATCACTTGGGTATCTAAATCTATATATAAGTTAAAGAGAGAGAGAGAGAGAGAGACAGAGAGATCCCTTTTGGAAGCACAATCACCGTGGCCTTATCAGGTGCTCAAGAAGTTAATAGGCGCTTCGAGCAAACATACAGCCATCCTCGAAGTTACATGAATATCACGAATACCTCTGCGCAGTGCTTTTCCTCTAAGTTCTTGACCATAAGGCACGTGCAAAGGTTTGTTAAGGAAGTCGGTCCCTGAACCCATCTCAGTTTGAACAGTCAAGAAATGCAAAACACATCCCCATCGCCAACCTCCTCTGCGTGCACGAACGACCTCGTTGTGCGCAAATGATCCTCGCACCTTGCTTCTGGGTGGCTCCTTGTTATTGGTCCACAGTCAGGCCAAGTTCTGGCAGATTTCCAGGTTTCTAGGCGAAGTGACGCTCATTCGACCGGTGCCGCGGTGCTGACCATCTCAACACACAGCTGGTGCCAAACGTCACCTCAGATTTCGTGGAATCCCTTGGGCTGCACGTTGATTCAACATTGAAGGCGTTCGGATGCACTGCATGTTCTGTCTCCCCACAGCTGTGAGATCTCTGTTTCTAGAGATGTTGCCTGCCCAAGGCGGACTGTAAAGAGCAAAACTTGGAACCACCACTGAATGATATTAAATATTACTAAATCAGCATTGTCAGCTTCTTCTCGGCGGGGACATTGTGTGTGTGGTGACTCGACACGAACTCTTCAACGCACCAAGAAAGATTCAACCCAGCAAACCCAACCAATTAGGTCCGACCCAACCCTGGCGCACTACACGTCGCGCATTGCGCTCAGCCTTCAACAGTCCAACTCTTCTAGTTTGATGTGGCATTGGCTGATCTCCAGTTCTCTGCAGTCTTCACAAGGTTCTGCAATGTTCTCCATCAGTCTGTGGTGAAGAGGACATGTTAGGTCAACGCATGTCAACACAATCATTTAGCACCTTGCCAATTTGGATGCCCTCACCACGGGAAGCCTGACAGTGCCTAACACACACACACACTTAGATCCATGCTTGCAAGAGTTCTATCAGTTTGGGTTGTCCACTCTAGTGATTACAATGCCGGTGTAGAGCGCTGATGCATCGACTAAACGAGCGTAAAAAGCCACCTAACGAGCCTGAGAGAAAACTCAAGAAACGGAACAATCAAGGAGAGAAAGAGGTGTGCGGGGGTAGAAGGCCGAGGCCCGCAAACCAGCCATGAAGCCGAAATCAGCGCACCCTTGACTAAGATTTAGCCTGACACCCAAAAAGCCTCTAGAAAACGAACGAAAACCTGAGAGAAACGGAAAAATCCTATATAGAAGGAGAAAAAGTAAGACCGTGCGTGAACTACTCAATGTGAGACGTATGAGTGAATACTTAGCACGTGGCACTTGACTAAAAATTAACATGGAACCTAAAAACCTCTAGCAACGAGAGAAAACCTAGAGAAGAAACGGGGCAGCAGGAGAGAAAGAAGGAAAAAAAACATGTGAATACTTAGCGGCATGTCATGGGACTGGACAAGTGAATACTTAGCGGCATGGCATGACATTCTGGAAAGGTTTGACAGACAGCTCTGCAGCTTCATACCGGCAATCTCGAACAAACAGCTGAGTCAGAGAAAGTCGAACAAAAACGATCAAGCGCTGACAATGCCCCCTTAAGGGTCCACCTCAACGGGCCCCGTAGGGATCACACAGCATACCGCAGTGGGGCGGTGCTGCGAAACACAATTAGCCCCATGCTCGCAGTTTGGATTGTCCACCCTAGTGGTTACAATGCCGGTGTAGAGCGCAGAACGGAAAGGTGAATAAGTCAGCCTGAACAGTATTGTTTAAACCACTTCGGTGAAGGAACATCTGCAGGTACGTCAGCAAGCGTCCTTGCTGATATCAGCACAACCTGAAGAGCCTCTTTGTTGGATGCCCTCTCTTCAGGTGTGGGGCATCCCCCTGCTGAACTATACAAAGAATTCGGTGGAACATTTTAGCTAAGTAGTTAATGTTGCCAAATTCCTTGGACACCGGATTTGACACACACTTAGACAAGGTTTCATCCAGTAAGATAACCCCCGAGGAAAGGAATCAGGGAAACGCACGGCGGCTAGGTTAGCAACATCACTTGAGATTTTTGAACATCGGTTCGAAATCTCGCGCGAATCAGCAGCCGCAGAACGGCGGAGGGGAATGTTTTGGGGTGTATTATGCAAGAACCATGGAATCAAAAGACCGCGAGGAAAATTGGTGTATTGTGACGAAGCAGGTGCAGGTGGATGATCAGTCCACCCATCCCTCGATACACCAGAGCTTCGTTGCGTCAGGTAGGTGTATCGAGCCTGACGCCCCTGCTTTTTGGGAAAAGTGCAAACAACAAACCTCCTGGAAACGGAGGGGGGCACACACACACACACTTAGTCACAGGGTTTTCAGTGTCAAAACCCACAGTGAAATGGATGAGGGAAACGCAAGGCGATAAAGTCAGCTCATTTGAATAGTTGAAAACATTGTTTGTGCGTGACTGCAGAAAGCGGCGGTGACAAGCTGCAAGCGCGGCAGGAAAGTGGTTTGTGGGAAGTATCGTGGAGAACCATCATGGAAACAAACCAAGAGGAGAAAAGCTTGAGCAACAGTTGACCGCAGGTACGTCGAAAGAGCGTCCTCTTTCGATATCCTAGTCTGAACCTGGAGCTTCGTTGGCTCACGCCAGGAACAGACCCGTGAGCCCCCTGCTCTGTGACTCGAGGTTGGTAAATGAACTCTTAGAGACAGAGTGTGACACACACTCTGACATTGGTTTTCAGTTGCACTCAGTTCCCACGTTGAGAAGGAAGGCGATGGAACGGCATGGTGAAAGGTCCAAAGACTTGAAGGTGTTTTAACATTGAAGTTTCTCATCTGCAGTGGTGCGACGACGACGCGCGCGAGCGGCGAGGGAAAGGGTTTAGGGGAAGTAGCATGAACCACCATGGAAACAAACAAAGAAAGAGTGGAGTGACAGCTTGTACAACAGTTCGGCAGGTACGTTTGCAGCCCCCCCCAGTGGCCTCTTCGTTGGCCATCCGCCACTGGGGAGGGGATGGCCCCCTGCCTTGTTAAGTGGTGGTAATGGAAACGGTGGCATTGGACCCTTTGGTACAGGGGGTGACACACACACATAGCCGTACTCGGCACGGTCTCCCCTAGCAAAGTAGTAGTGAGGCCAGGGGCCTCCAGTAGCGTCCTGACTCCCCGGGGAACATTTGTACAGAAAGCGCCAATTGTTGGCACAGCAAAAAACTATTAGTCACCCAAAAAGCCTAAGAAAGACAGACAGACAAAGCAACAAAACAAAAGCAGACTAAGAGGGCAAGAAAGAAAGATAGGTGTAGTTACGAGGCCCACTTAGTTAAATGAAAGTAGTTTGCGAGCGGGACATTCGTCTTAAACCGCCCGGGTAGCTAGCAATAGACTAGGAGAAACAGAAGGAAAGGCACCAACACACAAGTGTGTTGAGTGCGATTTCCTTCTGTTGCTCAGTAGCGGGTGGGATAGCAGAGGAGGCCCAGGGGCAGGGAGGGGGTGCACGATTAATTCGTCCGGCCTGTGAATACTTAGCAGAGTGACATGGACTGGTGAATACTTAGCGGGATGTGGCAGACTGAGAGTATCCCGTTTTTTGGCCCGGCGGCCTTGGAAGCAGTAAACTCAGTTAAGGTTGATCAAGTGGTGAACTCCTGTGAGATTACACGATTTCCGGCATGAATTCAGCGCCCCAGTGACGGGGATCACACTCACAGCACCCGAGTGGGACGGCTGAGCGAAACACACTCTGACATTGGTTTTCAGTTACACTCAGTTCCCACGTTGAGAAGGAAGGCGATGGAACGGCATGGTGAAAGGTCCAAAGACTTGAAGGTGTTTTAACATTGAAGTTTCTCATCTGCAGTGGTGCGACGACGACGCGCGCGAGCGGCGAGGGAAAGGGTTTAGGGGAAGTAGCATGAACCACCATGGAAACAAACAAAGAAAGAGTGGAGTGACAGCTTGTACAACAGTTCAGCAGGTACGTTTGCAGCCCCCCCCAGTGGCCTCTTCGTTGGCCATCCGCCACTGGGGAGGGGGATGGCCCCCTGCCTTGTTAAGTGGTGGTAATGGAAACGGTGGCATTGGACCCTTTGGTACAGGGGGTGACACACACACACTCTCTCTCTCTCAAAATGCCTCAAGGTCGCCAAGGCCACTGCTTGGCTTTGAGGATGGCATTTTCTCATCCTGCACAGGCTGGGCAGGCTTTGGTGGTCTTCCACGTAAATAGTTCTGGAAGGACAACCTCACTTGGGCCCTATGTGATCCTATGCGGGCATGCAACCAAAAACCTACCAAATCAAGCAGGCCTGCAAGAGTCGCACAATCAGCTCGTCCAGCTGTGAAGAACGGGGCAATGCTTCCGGCAGCTCCTTCTGGAGCTTTTTGCGGAATGATCGTTCAGCTGCACAAGTCACAAGTCACAAGCCAAGGTTGCTCAAACCTGTTCCGAAGAGAACCTCTTTCGGGTGAAGATGTGTGAAGCTTTGAAGCTTCACTCTGAGCCTCATTGGGTGGATTGTGATGTATCTTATCTTTGTACTTTTGTGTAGGCTCGCCTCGGTTTCATGTCTCCATCTTGCGTAACGAATCTGGTGTTTCTTGCGCATCCCTTGCCCTACGGGTGAGTACGGCAAGAGTCAGAAAGCCAGTTTGGTTTCAGTTGTCTTCGAGTCTGCACCTGAAGCTCTCAAGCTTGAGTGGACCCTGTCTTTGCGTAAGCTTTCTTGGATGTGTCTTTGCATCTGTGTGCCTTTGTCGTGTTTGTTGTGAAGCTCCGTGTGGTGCTTGACTGTGAAGCTCTGACTGAGGCTCTCAAATAGCATCATATGCATTATATATAGATCAATGAATGTACAATGGCAATTCAAAATGCTTCCCTGTTTTTGGCCTGAAATTTGTGTTTAGCAAGCTTGCCTCTGCTGAGGGCAGGATGCCTCGTGATGAGCTGTCTTGTATGTTCCACTTGAATCATACTCCAAGCATTCCAAACGGCAATGCGAGCGAATGCTAGGCAGCATGCCGTTTAGCGACCACTGATCTTAGTCAATGGGCCAATGGTTGCACAATAGTTACTAAGCGCGGTGGATGTGGATGTGGCAAATTCCCTATAGATATCCCAAGGCAAAGGTTCAAGCTAAACATGGATCAAACCAGTTCATGGTCCCACTTCTGCTGTGGCGCGTGCCTCCACTTGGTGGATCCTCAGGGCAAAAGCATGGAATATCACGCAGGGATCCGTGACCCACCGGGTGATGTATTGAATCACACATTAAAAAACCAACATCCGACGGCTGATTCTGCGATCAAGGGCGCAAAGAAGAGACCGCTGCTGCTTCTGCTGCAGCAACAGCTCCCAGGTCTGTCACCTGCCAATGTGAACACCCAAATGCTGCAGGATTGCTCTCTGACACGCACCACTAGCACTAGCAACGAGGTCTGGTAGCCAACGATGTGCACACGATCAAAATGGTGCAAATATGCACCCACCCTGCTATCCAAACCCTCCACACGGAGCACCTTCAAACATGCCAACAGGGTCTTACTCAAGAAAGAATAGTTGGGCGGCTTCTGTATGCATGTGTACACACACATATATATATACATATATTTATATGTGTTCGCTCGCACGCGCGCGCATACACACCTACGTATACCTACTATACTTTCATGATGAGCGTTAGTTATCAAACATATGGGCAATCTCAGGATGTCGTTGTTCTCCTGCCTGCTGCAATAGCTCCGCCAAGTCCAAGGGAGGGAAGTTTGAGCCCTTCTCACGCCGCTGCCAGGCAACACTCAGCAAAGGCCTGGTCAACCGCGCAACTGGCAAGTTAGAGCGGACCAAATTGTGAAAGAACAAGATCTACTACAGTATCTAGCAGTAATGCCAGGAGCTGCTAATTTCGTCCTTGCTCCGTTCGTAGCGATGCCCTTTGTTGCGTTCGTAGCGTCCTTGCTACTAGCAATGCCGTTTGTTACTAGTCTAAGCCTGCCAGATCTTCTGCCAACTCTTCACCCTTCCATCTTGCCTGAGGACATGAACATATCCTTAGTTGACTGCTTCATGTCTGGTCTCAGTCAGCTCGACAGGGACAACTGGAGCAGCTGAAGAAAATCGTCGAGGAACGCTTGCGCAATGGACTGTCGTTGGACTTGATGTAACTTTGAAAGTTTCGCCGGGTATGGTTGTACCAATGGACCATCAATCTGCCCCTGCGGCAGCAACTTCAGCAACAACAAATACAGTAACAAATTACAAATCGTGTTCTCTCACGTTCTCTCCAGGAACTCGTACAATCAGGCATGCCGACTTGAAAATGGGAGTCGGCTCGAGCATGCACCACCATGTAACTACTGTAAGCAAGGCGACTCACCCCTCTAGCATCGAGCAATAATGGAAGCCACGTGCAGGTCAGGGTGTAGGTGTTTAATTCGAGTCAGGGGTGATCGAATGTGACGCACCTGTCCGTCCACTTCGTTGCAATCTGCAAAAGCCGTTCTCTCCACTCTTCCCCTACGAAGGCTGATGGTGTTGACCTGAGGCAGCCATGACAGTACCACCATGTCGACAACTTCACGTAGCAAGCAAACGAATGGCTAGTATGCCGCCCTCACGCTTCGATATCAACCCAAATCAAACCCATGAATCTTGGACTCTCTTGGCCACATGGGGGCCAATAAGTAACATCGAAGGCCAGGCCACAAAACGCCAATCACCGCCGGGTTGTCTTCTGCCAGCATCTGCAGCGCATGTCGCGCTTCCCAGCCGCTGATCTCCACGTCGCAACCACCAGCTGCGCCAGGGAAGTGCTGCTTGAAGGTGGTCGTCTCGGATGCGACGCGTTGGGTCGCCCCGTTGTGACGGCGAAGCAGGAAGAAACAAACAGTGAAACAACGGTCTAGAACTCAAATGCCACTGATGTAGGTAGGAATCTGTCACCAATTGATGGTGATCGAAACTGGTGAAACACAATGCATCGCTGCATTGCTGCTTCACAAGCCGTTTATGTCTCGGCTAGACTGAGGAGAGAGCAAGGGACTGCAAACCGAAGTACATACTTCCTCAGGAGACACATGTTCGCCCAGGACTTTATTCCTCACGCACTGATCACAATGACAAGTCTTCCAGGTCCAAAGAAACTCTTCCAAGATGGTGCCTCAAACATCCTCAAAGGTCCAAAATGCTTAGAGTTTCTTGAGGGAAAAGAGTCCATTTCGTCCCTGCAGGGTCTCTTATTACAATCCTTATGCAACCGAGCATCTCGGGTGAACGAAAATGCACTTAATGTCATGGTCGGACTTCGAGTGACTTGTGCCCATGGTGCGCGAGCTGATGCCATATCCTCCATCAAACAAACAACCAAGCCATGTCCAACATGCCGCTTGAGAGCGAAAAAATACCGGAATGTCCAGGAAATTGGGCAGGGACTTTCTGTGCTTGCATGTGCTTGCTGGATCGTTGCACCATTTTGCAACCCAAGGGGGTTTCGTCCTGCAATCACGACTTTGATCTTCTGGGAAAAAGCTATCTCATCGATCAAATCTTTAATGGCTTGCTGTTCCTCGCAGGACCTTCCAATCTGCAGCCAAGCGCGTTTGAGCAATTGCGGGGACAATGACACTGAGACACATGAGGCCAGTCACTAGGCACCAGCCTTGTTCGAGGTAATGACCCTAATGGCCGTGGCATAGCGCCGCGATTCACCTAAGAGGTTCTGATGTGAAGCCGCGAGTCGATCATATTTGGCTGACCGAAGGTATACTACAAACTCAATTGCAAATGACATCAGCGGAAGCACTACAGCCCGCTGAGTAAGACGGAGTGGCGCCCAAAGCCATCCGCACGCGAACGCTGCGAAGCCATTTGTTCAATGCATTGGCATCAACTTCTGCAGGCCGAGCTTTGGAAGCTTCAACTACCTTGAGCTCGGATGCCTTGCACAGCGAGCAGCGATTTAGCGATTTCGATCCGACATCCACACACACACACAACACCCGGAAATTGCTTCCACCACCCGGCACTGGCTGCCTTCATGCCTCAAACCATAAGGGCACAAATAACATTGACATACAACAACGCCTTGCAGTCTTGCATTTCAGGCTGCGTAGGCTAAACCAAGGGCTGTGTTCTTTTTTGAGCTTTTGGTGTGCATATGTGAGTACTTGAGGCCAAGGGGGGGGGGCGAAAGCTAGCGCTCCAGAATGGGAAAGTGGAGGGCAGCGAGGTAGGAAAAAACACGGCGCTCTTTCTGGAGGCAGGGGTGAAGAGTCCTTTATATGTGGCTCTTTGCCCGGATCCTCCTGCAGAGAGAGAGAGGAGAGAGAGATGAGAGAGATGAGAGAGATGAGAGAGACAGTGAGACAGTGAGACAGTGAGAGAGTGAGAGTGAGAGTGAGCGAGTGCGGCCGCAAGATACGCAACGCTAACCGCATGCCAAAGAGCGACGACAGGACGGAGTGGAACTTGCGGAGAGGGAGGAGGGAGGGAGGGAAGATGGGAGGAAGACAAGGAGGAGGAGAGGGGGGGAGGTGGGGAGGGGAGGGGTGGGGGGGGGGGGGTCTTCGACCTGAAAAATCAGGGGTTAGGATTTGCACCCGGTTGAAAGAAACCTTGCTATCGCAAGAGTAACTCCAGCTAGCTTCGCTAGCTTTCGTGATATGTTAAAAAATACAATTGCCTTTGAACATACGTGAACCCCTGCCGACTGTTGGTTCCATAGCGTGGACACCTGGGGTGCAGTGATGTGGCACACCTCGTGTCACGTCCAATCGACAGGACCAAGTCTGGGCTGTGGAGGTGTGACGCCGAGCGGCGAGGTGTGCCCTCTGGGCTTCGGCCTTCTCCAGCAATGCTTGAGCGTCTGTTCGGCTTGGCCTGGCAAGTGCACCACAAAAAATTGTCAATCTTCCATGAGGAGCAAATGCAAACCAAAACTGATCACACGCATTTCAGGAGCCGCATGACGAATGGAGCCTGCGCAAACGAAGTTCAAGCACTTCCTGTCTCTCCTTGCCACTAAGTGCAACCATTGGGCAGCCTGCTGGATCTCCACTTCATGACGGCGGTTGTGTAAAGCTCGGAAAAGTATCAAAATATGGTTTATGCCACTAGTCTTCCAACCGCATCAGCAGCGGCTTGAGTGTGAGCTAACGACATTCACCACAACATTCAGGACAAAGCGGTAGTTGCCGACCTCCTCGCAAGATTCGCCCCAAGTCCAGCATCTTGTGATGCGCATGGTAAAGCCTTGGAACATTCTCGGATGGAAAAAACATGAAAAACCTAATCATGTCAGCACTTTCCTGTCAAATTTTTTCGCTTTGATGAGAGTGACCACCTACATTGGTGCTCAATGTGGCAAACTGTAGGCCAATGACCCCCCCAACTGCCAAGCCGGACGTAATTAGTTACTCTTGAGTTGTTGAAGTGGGCCCAGGATTATTCTTGTGAACTCGGATTTTTGAGTGGATCCGACGTGCTTCGAAGTGCAGCTGATGTTTCTTGAGCGGGCGCATCACCATCAAGCACTTTTGTTTCCTGCTAACTCCTTTTGTGAGCTGACCGGGGCGACTTTGACGCCGATTTTCACAATATATTTGGATTTTGAGCCACTCCACTCGTTTTAAACAAAGTCACCAGGAACAGTAGGTGAAGGATGCCCAGTGGATAAAATCAAGCACGCACACACCCACACAAGTGTATAATATAATATAAATTGTCTATACACCTATGCAATTATTGTGACGCACATTCAATTTTGACGTCTCAGCTCGTGCCATATGAGCAATCAAGGCGCGCAAACCCTGCCAGGTTGAAGGAGTGCAGCGTAAAACCGGGCATTGAGCAAAGGTGCAGGACATCAGTTGCAAGCAGCAAAAGCACACAAAAGCACAGTCTTTATGGGCTAATGCGTGCGCCGCTTGTGACTGGTAGCACTCTTCAGCAGGAACCGCAGGGCTCAACCTCCGTTTCCTGACCATCCCGTTCTCAGGCCCGGCCCGGCAGCCGTACCAAACTCTTATCCCACAACGTTTTCACGACTTTCAGCCGTTCATCTTGATCTGACCACGACCACCAAATGGAGCCTGTTCATCGTTGAGCTCCTCAACTACCTGCCGCAACTCTCCTCCTGAATTTCAATGGCTGTGGCTCCTGCCTGTGGGCTGCTGAGACGGAACCAAGCCCCACACACTTAGATAAAGGCTCGCAAGAGCAGTGTCAGTTGTGGCAATCCCCTCTAGTGATTAAAATGCCGGATTAGAGGGCTGGAGCCTGAAGCCTGTCAACGGCCATGTGCACAACGGAAAGGTGGCTGGGTCAGAAACAATATGGTTTAAGTATGTTTAAGTCACCAACATGCGATCGCAGGTGCGTTTACAGCCCTCACCAGTGGCCTCTTCGGTGGCCATCCACCACTGCTGGTGAAGGGGATGGCCCCCTGCTCTGTACATGTATGAAGAGTTGCTTAGAGACAAGAGTCGGCACACACAGAAAGCCGAGCCCGCGCACTCACACTCTCTTTTTGCTCTGCGGGAGGGGGGGGAAGGTGTGCGTCAACTACACGGGCCTAAACCCCAACCTAACAAGCCTGAAGGAAAGAACAAACAAACGTCAAAGCAAAGAAAGAAAAGATGCAGGGGTGTGCGGGGAGTGTTGGTTGGGCGTGCATTGACTAAACTAAACGAGCCTAAGCGCCGACCTCACAAGCCTGAAGGAAAGACCAAGCAAACGAAAAAGGCAAGGAAAGAAAAGAAAAGGGGGGGGGGGGGGGGGGGGGGGGGGGGGTTGTTGAAATACTGCTCTTGCGAGCCATAGGCACGGGCCCAAAGGCACTGGCCGAGAAGCCGAAATCGGCGCTCCCTTGACTAAAAGGCCTCAGTTACACCCCTTTAGAAACGAAAGAAGGCCTAGAAAACGAAGAGCAGCAGGAGGAAGAAAAGAACCGAAACGTTAATACTTAGCCGAGTGCCTATGAATACTTAGCAGCGTGACACGACATTCTGTGGTGGTATTCGGTGGGCCCGGCGGCATTTGATCAGCATTCTTGTGCAAAAACGCCGAGTCAATGAAGTTTCAGTGCAAGCTGATGAATCCCGGAATGTTCACCCTTAAGGGCACGCGCAAAACTCGCCCCTCGCTGGGGATCACACCACAGCCCTCAGTGGGACTCTGTGGCGAGACACACTTAGATAAAGGCTCACAAGAGCAATATCAGTTGTGGAATATCAGTTGTGGCAATCTCCTCTAGTGATTACAATGATGAAACCACCGTGATGCCCCTCGGCCAAGTGAAGGTCAGCATTCGCACATCCAACCACAGCCTTGCTGGACATTCCATGGCTCGCCCCGTACGGGATACGCTTCGACCTCCCACTAAGCCGAAACTCCACAGCGTCACATTTCATGCATATGACTGCTTCCAGCAGAATTCATCCACAATTCATTGGATGGAGGGCTTTGTTCAGTGAGTTGGTGCCAAGGGATGAATCTAGTTCAATTATATATTCAGAGTTTATGAAGGAAGTGATCGTTTAGTGATAAGCTTAGATTTTCTCCGAATTGATTGAATGGACTTGGCAAAACTTGCCAAACAAAGGCCGCCAAAGCATCAAGCAACGAAACAATGGCAAGTGCATTCGCATTCAAGAACTGGGATTCAAGTGCAGTTGCCTTGCAAGACTGTTTGAGGCACTCACAAAACTCAGTCATTGGAAATTGAAGCTTCTGGCGAGCAGCAACTTCGAGAACTCGCTGCCTCGCTCAAACTCGTCACTCTCACCTGTCTTCTTTTGCAAAGCAGCCAGTGGGGTTCCAAAGCCTCCATGGATAGGCTCCGAAAGTCCTATACTATACTAAAGGTTGAGAAAAGCTAACACATGGACAACAAACATTATATATATATATATATGACTTATATATGTGTGTGTATGCCATGACGCTTGATGCAGTCTGATGAACATCCCCAGCACATTGAATCTAGAAAACGGCAATCGTAAATGTGAGTAGCAGAAGTTGGGCCGGTGCTACTGTTATATATACCCATCTTGCCATCACAAGACCTGGCTGGCACGCTGTGGTACCTGCTTTGGACGTCTCCTCAAGAGGCACACCCAAGCAAAAGCCCTGGCCCTTGGCCTTCGCTTCCTTTCAATAGGTCACGAGCACGGAACAAGCGCTCTGAGATGAATCCCATGTACTGCTTTGCCTGGACTTTCAAGCGCTCTCTCAAGAAAGAAAGTGCACCATGATCTTTAACACCATCTCTCTTGAGCGTGCTGGAAGTGCCAGCATATCACGCACCTTCTGCCAGTTACACTGGCCCCTAAAGGCCTGGAACTACGAAGCTGACAAATGCATTGCCTTAGCAAGCCTTGATACACCAAAGTATTGAGATCCTCACCCGCCACGCGCGCTCCCAGCCAAGATGCACAGCGGAGGGTGAGGAAACATTCTCGTGCTTCTAAGAGCTCTTCCCATGCCCAACTGTGATGGTTTGGCTTCCTTGTGAACAGGAGCTCGACCTGACGCAACATGTTGCCACACACTGGGAAGAACACCTTATATAAGGGCGCGACCTATGCCCAAAGCCGGTAACATTTTTTCACCCAGTATGACCAGGGGAAGTGGGATAGATCGAGATAGCCGCTAGCCCCTAGTCTAAGAACTGCAACCTGTGCCAACACCAAACACTGCAGCGCAAGACTCCAGGTTTCAAAGTGCTGGCACGAGGCATTTTTGGGGTTGCCTTTGGCGAGCAGGGTGATAAAGGATCCCAACTCGCGCCCGCAGTACTCCACAGCACCTTTCTTGTTGGAAGCGAAGCCCTGATCATGGGATTCCAAAGGCTGGTGCTGAGTTCACGAAATGACAAGCTGAAATGTCTGATACCTCACGGTTCACAGGCGTTCAAATTTCTGCCATGCCTTTCCCCTCACATTCCCCGACTCTGAGCTGTCGCATCACTTGGGGATTCATTCTCACAGACTTTGCTGGTGGGATGGTGAAACTGCCAGTTTGCTTTGAACTGGCAAACATCATTGCAAATATCTGTCAGATCTACTATCCACGAGACATCACGAGACGCTCAACTTTTTGAGCCATCCTCCTGGTGGACTAATATCTACTGACTGTAAATATTGAACATGGGCGCTACATCTTGCACAGCTGCAAGCAAACTTCCACACTGAGCGTGCTAGCCTTGGCCTTCCAAATGAGAAAGGCCTGCCGTATGGCCAGGCTCCAATAAACAGTCGACTGCGTGCATCATCTCCCTTACTTGTCCGGCATGCTGCTGAACCAAGCTTTGCATGTCGGTGATTGACTCATGCAGGTCGTTTTGCTCGGTTTCCACACGTCCCTGCCAATCCTAAGGGTCACGCAGGTCACGCAAGCGCGAATTGTTCAGCCAAAGGCTTGCTACATCTTGCCACAACCTATGACCTAGAAGCTTGCCGTTGGTACTCGGACAACATTACTTTCTCTACTGCATAGCTTGTCAGAATGTGTCCAGTCAGCACTTGCATCAACTTGTCTACAGCGTATAAAAACATCTACTGACTCAGCATCCAATCTTCTTCCCTCTTTGGACCTTCGGCGTTCATTTTTCTATGCTAAGAGTCACGGTATCGCTGAAGGCCATTGTGGAATGTCGTGGTAAGGTCGCCACTCAGCTCGGTGACCATTCTTTGGATCCATGCTTTGGAAGTCCTCTCCTCAGATGCCTGTTCCTTCATGAAGCTCTGTGACTGAATTGGCGGACAGATTTGTACAGGTCAAATGCTACAACACAATTTCCTAATCTTACAAAACTTGCCCCTGCATACCTGGAAACGTTCCCCCGCTACACCACAATGTCACAGCGCAGCATGTGCTCAATTACATCCCTGACCTTGCCGAAGTAGAAGTCATAGCTGGCATCCCCCGAGGCTTGCAAACGCTCAAAATAATCTAGTTGCGCCGCAACTTCTTCGACATCCCTGCAAATATCCTGCCATGTCAAACCAAAACAAGAACTCTAGCACAGCAGTATTGTGTAAAGAGTTCCGGGCCCACTAGAGCCAAGTATATGCAAATAGTGCGCCAAGCTGCGGTACATGGACCTTTGTTCCTGGGAAAATTTCAAGGTCTCTTATAGATCTTAAAGCTCTTGGCTTTGTCGGATTTGCATCAATCATGTGCTTGGTCTGGCTTCAACTATGCAGTATAGGAGTTGTCTCCTGCAACATCCTGCGTCCAGAAATTGCCTACTCTGATCTGCAGCTGAGCACATCAAATATTTACTAGAAGAATTGAGAAAAACTTCGAGGATCTTCGAGGGGCAAACAAGCTGCAAACGTTCAATCATAGGCTCCCGCAGTGCCAGGATATTTGAAACCGTTTGGTGCCTTTGCGCCCGTGTGCTCAGCCCTCCCGTGTGTTTATCCGATGATCCGTTCCTCGCAAGATCCCAAACATTGGCACCCAGAAACGCACATTCCGTTCTCCACACGAAGGTCACCCATCTGGCTGCACTAGACTGGTATGTGATGTATGTGACCCCTTTTGATCTGTTCAACAACTCTAATCAACACACATCAACACAAACAGGACGTTCAGTATACCCAGCAACTCGGCAAGTCCTTCATGGTATACTGAAAGTCTTCCAGATTCTTCTGAACATCCCGCTGGATCATATCCTGGAGCCATGCCAACGATCTTTGACCCACTGCGCCAGCAACTGAAAAAGAACGCGTAACGAGCACAAAAAGGCTCTCGCAACTAGGATGCGCAACTCTAGGCCCCAAGAAAATCAACATAATACAATCAAAACCTCCCACCGTCAGAAACTGCTGCACTCACCCGGCCTCATTTTGGAAGCCAACCTCCAGCTTCTCTTGCCGCTCCAGTGCTTTTGATAGCGTCCGCACCGCTTGTTCCCGAGGCATCTGGGGGACTGTGGACATCAAGGAATCTGGGTTGATCAAAGATTGGTCCGACATCATGCTGCTCCTGAGCGCGTTTGACCTGTTCCTGCTTTCAAGTCTGATCCACACCTCCACGGAGTTTCGCTATAAGAGTTATTGTTTCTGTCTTGACACAACCCTACTGTTCTGACACAAGGCCCTACAGCTATGAAAGTCCGCCTGCATGCTATACACGTAAATCAACCACTCGCCCTTGGATGCCACATGGGGCAAAATGGGAACCCAGCCCTGCTTGAACCCAGGGCATGCTGGCGGCATCCTCTTGTGGGTGGTACTGGTGTTTGGATACACCCGTCACTTGTCAGTCTGCCTGAGCCCTCTCTCGCAGTGCGACCTTTAACCCATGTCTCTACTATTGGCTAGTGGCCGGTGTTCTGGGAGAAGACCTTGGGATTTGAGATGTTTTGAGCTTAATGATTTGGGATGCAATATGAAATGGCTTGCCATGACATGCCATGGCTCAGGTTGTTCTTGTACTTCTTCTTGAATGCTTCGTAGATCTGCGAAAGGTTCACCCTCTCTCCGCGGCGCCGCTGAGAGCGGCGTCGCCAGACTTCTGAGGTCTGCTGCAATAGCGACTTGTCTTCTGAGGCCTTCTCCTTCTCATAGGAGTAAGCGTCTAGAATGATGGCCTCACCCAAGACAATCCAAGTACAGTTGAAGACTGGTCAGCTCCTGTTAGGTCGTTTTTCGGAGACTCCGCGCTGGACTTTCATTGCAGCTTGGCCACCAAGAGCATATTCAAGGCAATAAGGGACAGGACGATGCTGAAGACCCAAAGCCAAAATGCTGCTTTGAAGTGGCCAATTTGGTTCAGGACTTCCCAGTCCCAATGGCCCAAGACCGCCAAAAGCGATGAGCGAAAGGCATGTTCGGGTGTAGTGAAGCCTTCCATGTCCTGCCCCAGGAATAAAATGCCACTGACCTCGGCCAACATCTGAAAAAGTGACCTGGCTCACCAATTTATTAGAAAATACAGTTCTGCAATGAATCTATTTCAGCTCCACCACCTGCTGTGACATGAAGTAAGCCCTAGGATTGTGCAAGAGAAGAGTGGCCCCACTCACTGTTCCACAAGCTGTGTAAAATTCAACCTGTGGCTTCGTAATGCAAAGTGCACGGATTGAGTGGCTGACCAACAGGCAAGCAAACACGCAGGCGATGACCAACCTGGCACAATTCATTCACAAAAGGCCTTTTTTTCAAATCTGTTCAGGGAGGGAAAGGTTGACTTTTGCAGATAAGTGCGGCTTGGCAACATAAAATGCCCGAAGTCGGGGGCTGCTGTTTTCAGAGTAGCAGTAACAATTGCCAAGCGTGGTTGTGCTTCAAAGGATTTGAAGAGCCGCAGCATCCCTACAAACCTGAGGTAAAGTCAACATATTCCTCACTGCCATTGCAAGCTGAAGGAATGTTTGCCGACGCAGACTTGACGACTCAAATGGAGTAGATCCCAAATGCAGCAAAAGCTACGACTATTGCTGTCATGCGTTGGGTATGGTGTAGGTATGGCGAAGCAAGTGGAACTAACTTCTCTCAGGGCTTTCAGACAATAGGACTACCTTAGACCTTTATTCATACTTTGTATTTATGACTCTGTGTTTCTGACAGCTTGCGTTGTGCCCCTTCCCCATAAGGACCCAACTCGCAACATTATATACTGTAATCATATGTATTCTACGCCAATACTGCCAATACGACACAAAAGTAATGACTTCGACCGATTTCGAGTCACGGGTAGAGGGCCAAGGACACGAGTCCAACCGAGTTTGCAGCACTCATCTGCTCGACCGCAAAAAAGAAAGGATCGGCAATAGATATGTATGCTGCTCGGTCCTGTGGGGAAAGACTGGCAGCAATCATCTGTGCCAGTAGGCCATTGGCTACCTCCACGTAGAGTAAAGTCCGAAATGTGAAGAAGGCTGCCAAAGTACCGGAAAAAAATGGCCGCCCAGTCTACCATGTTCCAGAAACCGATGTATTCGAGGGCTATTGCTCGGCAGCAGCCAAGCTGTGAGCTTCGTACGGTGCGAATGATATCCCTGAACTCTCCTATGAGCATGTACAAAAGGCCTCCGCCCCACAGCGCGCCACAGAAAATAATTGGGACCAGCTGAGCAGTTGGCATGTTTAAGGGCTGCGCTGGCGAAGACATTAAATGAAGTAGCTTGTAGATATTGCCACCACGATTCAGGAAGAAATTGACCGACACATAGGTATAGATTCCTTAGCTGCTCATACCAAGATGAACCCTCTCATACCTGATTCAAGGCCGGGCTTGCCATCTTCCACCCAATTCTAAGTCAAAACTCCATGTTGCGCATTGTAGAAGACCATGCTGACCTCTACTCTCTTTGCCAGCTCGTCAAGCCATGGCTGTCTTGGAACTTGCCCTTTGCACCACTCACAGCGACAGTTCTGCAGGTTTCCCACATGAGCGTTGCAGCCATCTTCCATGTCCAGAAGTGCTTGCTGAAGGCTTGTGAAGTTGTCCAAATCTGGAAACAAAAATTCTGTTTTCGCAAAGTTGAGAAAGTCTTCTGCATCCGGGGCTTGGGGGACCAAGACCGCGAAGGAGCTTGGAGCACAAGGCTTGCCCAGCCAATTGTCCAAAATGTCTGGGTCCATTGATGAGGGGCCGGTGCAAGCTTCCACCTCACCGACAACCTGCCGCATGCGTATGCCTCCAACAAGCTTGGAGTAGATCAAAAAGTCATTCTGAACTGGTGAGGGTGATCGATAGCCCTGGAAGAGCCAACGCTCTGGGCGGCCTGTCACCTGAAAGTTCCCGAAGTCCGACTCCATGGCTGGAGGTACTCCCTCACTGTAGATCCAAGTCGGTTGGACCACTAGTGGAAGCAAACCCAACCGCATCCATGACCAGAATTGTGAGATTGAATCTACCTCATAGACATCTTTGTGGCCAAACTCGCCGCTCCATCCAAACCTGCAATGCAGTGGAACTCTTCACTGCGCCTATGCCCCTAAGCATACAGCACCTATATAATGCCATCTATCGTTCTACGGAATCTGTCTGCAATTGTGCCCAATCAATTGGCCATGCCCCCCTGTCTGTTACTTTGAACAATGGATCATCTTGCCCCCCTTTCCTTGCACTTCCAACCACGCTGTTCTCGATCGCATTCTGGACACCGAAGAAAACATCACGCTGCAAAATACCCAGCACAAGGATCGTGAAGGAGGCAACAAGGCATATTGTCCAGGGCAGTTCAAGAAAGCTGCGCTCTGTGTCTACCTCAGCCTCCGAACAAGGCAAGGTTTGCATAATGGTGGCAGCTTATCAGGGCTCCGCTCAATTATCCAAAACAATTCAAACATCTGCAGAACATGTTTTGGTGAAAGCCCTGCCTGGATATAGTCCAAATATACATTCAAGGGCACGCCCACATAGGTTGCAGTGTCAGCATATGTAACAGCTGCCTGGGCATTAAGCCTGTCCACAGCTTTCTTCACTGCCAAATCCTTTTTGATGTACTCCTGATATTCTTCCTCCTCGAACTCCAAATCGCCATGGGCATCAACCTGGCAGGGGGTGGCCCCTGGTTGAAGTGGTCTATATATGCTAAATTTGTTTTGTTTCAAGTCACTAAGAGCCACAAAAAGTGCCCACGCAGTACGAACGCAGCACGAAGTTTGCCCACGCCATTGGGCCTCACATTTGATCCCTCGTCTCTCAAAGACTTCCTGCTGACCAGGCAGGGACTGATGCACACGCCGTCTCATAACGAAAGAAGTGCATTGGGACAAGGGGTACCGGGGCTGAGTTTGAGCTGACGGCTGATGGTTGCGATGGAGCAATGGCAACAACTCTCTACCCAGTTCTGGATGATGTTTATTGAATCATGATTGATACTTTCTGCCGAAGTCACATCACCGATTGAAAAGCCTTCCTGCGCTGCCGCAAGAACGACAAAAAAGCCAGCGGGCACAGCCTAAGAACATACAGTCCACACAAACATACACAAACACAGGCAGCAACCAGCACCCTGGAGCAAGTTTCAACATCGCTCCCACTATCGCTCCCACATCCTCAAGTTTGGGTGGTACCATACTTGCATCTGGGACTTGGCATTCAGCTGTAAAACAGCAGTTGGATCAAGCCCTATCTGCAACCTCCTTATGGGGACCGACCGGTTGCCGCTTTGGAATCCTTTGATCACCTTCTCCGACCGATGTGTTCACTTGATCTCAGATGTCTTTCGCATGTGGCCGTTCGAGTTGAGCGGTGGGACTGTGGCGAATAGGTCCTGTTGCGCTGGGATCTCGCTCTTTGCCGCCAGAGTGCGCAGCATTGTTTCATGCGTTCTCCCGACTGATTGCTCGTTCTGTGGCTCATCTATGGCTCATGAGGAAGTTGCGATCGATCAGCTTCAGCAAAGCCCTTTCCATTGCGGTCTTGCGGGCCAGCCTCCAAGGTGATCCTCAAACAATTCTCACTGAATGATCTATCTGTGCAGTCCACGGCACGGGCTATTCTGCTCTCAAAGCAAAGCCTCCAATGATTGGAGTTGGAAAGAAAAAACGTTCCAACAACCTCACTGCCAAACACATCAACAATGTAATTTGCGCTCAGCCAGGGCAGCATAAACATGCACATTCACATGTTGGTCCAACCGTCCATCACCTCTTGCGCATCTTCCACGTCCTGAACAGCCACAAAGGGCTTTGCACTCCCCTGCCTTCCTTCCAGACCACGTCACACGCTCTTCGGCTCAGCTCACACATGATTTCTACACTTCCTAAGCTTCCGCAACTGATCGACACAGGCTTCCACTCCATTGCATTCGGCCTCCTTTGTGGCCGAATTCTTCTTGTGAGAATCAGGTTCGTCATTGTATGCTGTTGATGTCAAAGGGCAGCAGCGCAACTGTCATCTGCAAATCGTTTATTAAGCTTCTTTAATGCTACACCACACGCTGGGCCTCTGCGAGTTCAGCCTGACTACTTTGCATTTCCAACGGTTACAGTAATAATTATCAAGCAAGAACACGCTCCACTGCTTCATTCAATGGTCATTGATCCTTCTTCCCTGACCTGGTGCACATGCTGCGAAAATTCTTCTCTGGGCGGCTTTAAGCTCAGCCTTAGCAGGGCAGGGACATAACGGCTGGATTGTTGAAGGGCAATGCTGGCCACTGTAATCGGTAACATGGCGAGCTGGTGGAGTCCCAACACTTCTTCAAAGGAGCAAGCTGTCAGGCAAAGCCTGGTAAATCAGCGAGAAATCCATATCGCTGGTTTCCACTTGCAAGTCGTACATGAAACTGCCTTAGCTGAGCTGCTACAGAAGCAAGAACCTCTACCAGGGTCAAACTTGGCACGCATACACTTCAGGGCTTGATAAACAAAAACTGAAGACACATGCATTCAAATTTACTGGAGGCCAGACGTTCTTTGGCCAAGGACAATGTAGGCTTTTATGACTTCACTTAACTTCCTTCCTTCCTGCGGGCAAGGCGCCCGTCTGGGCCAAGAATGTCAACTCAGAACCAGCTGGAATAAGGCTTTCCTGACTTTTTGGTGAAGCGCTCCCCAAAATACCAACAAGCACCATAATACCATACTCGCACAACTGGGCGACCATTTCTTGGGCGACCTCATGCCTGCGAGCGTCTACATGTCTCATCGCGTCTGAGGACTCCTCACACAGCGGGCGCACCACGTGCAACTGGAGGTCCAGAACAAAACGGTGGGCATGTAGTTCGGTCGTTTTCAGTGCCCAACAACAGCGAATGGACTCAGCACCTGGCAAAAAAATCCGGGGACAGCACAAATCGTTTTTTTGCACACGAAGGGAGTATCGAGAGGCCGGGACATGTGGTGGCAAATGGTCTGTTGGTCACTGTTAGTCACTCCTTAGCAAGCGTGGAGCTCGTGCTCGCTGCACTCTCCCCCGAGAGCCCACCATATCCATCGGCCCCCCATCGCCTCAGCAATTACATCTGGGCAATCGCAGCTGTGATCATGAGACATTAGCTCCACAACTGGGGCAAGGAGCTCTCGCCACGCGAGCAACGCGTCTTGACCTTCTACATCCCGCAAGCCCTGCTTAAACATCTCCTCAGCCAGCATGCTGCGTGCAATGAGTGCCTCTGTGAGGCTGACAGGTGTTTGCTTTTTTTTGTCAGCAAAATGCGCAACATATAAAAGTACACCGAAGGCTAAAAAAAGACAAAGGCTCTTCTAACTCATCCAAAAAGCAAAAATTCCCCACATCCCTATCCCAGAATCCACCTCTACTCAACTCATCTCCTCAGGTCGCGAAGTGCTCAGGGCGCGACATAATCTGTCTCCCGTAGCTGCTGGCACCATTCATCCAAGCAATCCAGCTTTGGCAGGGGTGCTGCAGCTTCAGCGGCCTTTGTGGACTTATCGTTTTTGATGGACCTTTATGTTCACAGCTACCTCTCCAAAAACAAGGAAAGAAGAAGTGAACAAAATACTCTCACAATGTGATGTTGGACGCTGAAACCCACAAGAGCCCACAAAGGGTTGGACACGACCACCGGGACCACACCGGACCGAAGACCACGGACCTGGTCCGAGGCTCGGAGCACAAACGTTGCAAAAGTGGCTTCCAGGTGCTGGTGGACCTGGTGTGGTTGCCGCTTGTGGTCTTCAGGTGTGCACGAAAACCAAAACATCTAGGCTCTTCTTCGCAACAATGCAGACAGTCTGAGTGTGATTTTTGGAGTCATTGCATGAGGCTACTGCAGTGCAATGTGGTGCATCACGTTTCAACTAGTCACACGTGAGTCGAGGAGTCTCAACTTTCGCCCAGATGCAGCTCCTCTCCCTTGGCCAGTGCATCCAGCTGCAAAGCCTCCTGCGTCAGAAGTCACTTCGACACTGGGACCGCCGCAAACGGCCAATTCCAATTCCAACACCGTTCCAAGTGATCATGGTACCAGTGCCCTTCAGTACGGCAAAGTATAGTATAGTATACAAGAGGCTCGCAGCCATGGCACACTTCTTCCCTAGGCCTTCTCGTGTGCAACTCGCCTCGCCAACAAATGAACAATCCTCAGTTGGGGCAGGTTGCCACTTGCGCTTTTGTGCACATGAGCTGGAGCCCCCTTGGCTCTCTGACCTAACACGTGCAAACAATACACGAGCGCTACGCATTGCTCAGAAAAGGGCTGCATGGTGGTAGATGTCATTGTTGCCTCCTGGAAGCCCGCTCCTTCAATCGTTGCAGCAGGTTGTATCCAACGAGTTTCACACAACGTCCAACAATTCCAGAGTGCCTCAGCGTGAACACTCTGCTAAGTACTGACTACATGCTGAACCGAACACCGACCATTTGCGGTTGTGGGTGCCCGTCCTTTTCCTGCGTGTGTCTTATCTCGTTGGTGCAGCAAAGATATTGCGGCCCCAATGCAAGCCTTCTTGTAGGGCTTGCTGGCAGCCACGGCATGCTCTGGAGCTGATGCCTAAATGCATTCTGAAAGCTGCTACTGTGGAGCTCACTGCGTCTCATTGTGACAAGTCGAACCTCTGTCATTTACCAGGGTACCTTGGACAAGGCTGCTTTGAGCTCCCACCATTCATGGGTCGAGTGCAAGACCTGTGCAGAGTCCTGTTGATGCTGGAGGGCCTCGACTGCAGATGGCAAGCCTTTCTGCAGCAAACGACTGTAGTCCACCACATCATGCCAGTTCACCTGGCCACTTGGGAAACAAATTGTCTGCAATTTGATGCGATTGGCAACCTCCGGGACTCCGTCCACATGAGAAGCAGCACTGAATTGAGGTGGGTGAACCTACCAGTTCTTGTCAAGCGGAGGGCGGCACCTTCAGATCCAAGGAAGGTGCCTGACAAAGTGGAACATGTGAAAGCTTTGGGTGGGGGGGGCGAACTTCCCTAAAGGCATAGACTCAATTTGAGAAAGGCTAGCTGCAAACGAGATAGGGCCTGGAACCATCTGGAACCAATCTTTACACAATTTCCAAAAACCTCGTATTTTGCATTGGGCCATTTACCTCTCAACTTGTCAACCCAGTGCAGAAGCTGCCTGGAATCAAAACAAAGTGCAAAATAAGCGATTCCATGTCCAAAAGCTTTCCAACCCTCAAGACCAAGGACTTTGATGTAATTCATTTTTGCACCGGAGAACCGCATGGCAAGCCCATGTTGGCTTCCAGCATGAATGGATAGCCCAGACCAGGCCGTGGCTTGATATGTTCTATTTTGTTCTGGCATATCCTCCACAATCATATTAGTCGGGTCAAGAAAAGAAAATCCTGGTCTGGCATCCTGACAAGGCTTAGAATTTCCAAGAATTGGAAACAAGACCGTAAAATGGTGAACTGAGGAAGACGAGGAAGACGTCACCGAGGATCGCCGCAGAAAAGCGAGCTCCATCAGATAGAAGCGGCCTCGAGCCTAAAAGCGATGGCCTCCAACCTAGAAGCGTCCTTGCTCCTAGTAGCGATGCCAGGAGCCCCTAGTAGCTTCTTGTTCCTTAGCCTTAGTAGTAAGGCCAGGAGCCCCTGGTAGCGTCCTTGCTCCTAATAGCGATGCCCTCCAATCTAGAAGTGGATTGACAAAACTACATCTATCTATCATAGCTGTGACTTTCCTGGGCAATCCTTAGGTCTCTTGGTCAGGTGAAACGCAAACGTACATGACCCAGGAGACCTTTCTCCTGTCCAAAAAAATGCACGTGTCAAGAGATCATGCTGAAAAGCGTCCGTGAATGAAAAGAGTTCGATTTGTACGAGGGGTTTGCATAAGCTCAATTTGTCGATGGGCATCACTTGGCCCATGGGGGTCAGCAGGAAATGGCGACTTTCCCAAGAATAGCTCAGAGTTGCGCCGTGGGGAGACAGGTGCAGAACCACCTGAGGGACAAAGATTTCACACATGCAAATAACGAGTTTCTTGCACTCAGGATGGTATATGGCAGTATATGGTAGCAGCATGATGCAAGGTGTCATAGTTACTAAACAGTACAACCCAAATAATCCAAGTTTTCGTGAGCTTTCAGAATACGATGTGGCAAAGCCTTCCGCACTGACGCTGGCTGGCGCAGTCCGATCTGTAAATTCTGAATAACGCTTAATTGCAAGGGATTTCCTTGTCTGAGAACCTTTAGTGATACACTCTAATAAACACCGATCTGGGTGGCACACAAGTCTGACACAAGCTTCTATCGACTGATTCGCCAAGAAAGCACGTTCACGTCCCCCCTCGCATCCCCTCGCAAGCACAAACAGCTTGAGATATGTCGTGGATTCTTGAGTGGCGTATCACATGTCTCTAGGAACCAAATCATTAGTTTAGTGCGAGCGCTATCCTGCGTCCATGTGTAGTAGCTCAAGTAGCTAGAAGCGAACTTCTCCCTCACTTGGTTGAGTAGGGAGGCGGGCCCTTGGGCTTAAAAAAGATTCTTGAGTTGGCGCATCACAGTCCACACCTTGAGTTCGATCGTCATCTTCATGTGACTCTTGGCGCTGGCACGTCGGGTAGTGCTGCGTTGGAAGAGGCTGGTAGGGGTAGGAAGGTTGGGGGTACGTCGGGTATGGAGGCGGCAGGTATGGTTGCTGGGGATATGGCTGGAGATATGGCTGGCAGGGCTGGGGAGGGGCAGCTGCGCCAGGATACGAGGAGAGCAGCATGGAGAGAGCTTCCTCGAAGCCTTTCTTGGCTTCCGAAAAACGAAGCGCGGAGTCTTCTGCCACAGCCCCCAAGGTCTCCGGGGAAAAGCCGGGTGGCGGCTCGGGAGGCCGCACGCTCGCCGGGGACAGCACGCTCCTCTGCCGCTCGCGAGGGCAAGCGGTCTGAGGGGCTGTCTCCGGAGCATCGCTTGAGGAACTGGCTTGAACCGAGAAAAGCAAGGCACTCGCATCCGAAATGTCCATCCGCACCCCGTTGTGAATCACAATAGGTCGGTACTGACTATTTCTGGAGTGTGCTACGGCCCGGTTCGAAAAATGCCGAAGATTCTCAATGAAGCCCTGGACGTGAGCAAAGGACACTCTGGCTAACTTCTGGCTCGAATGGTGCTTGAAAGGATGATTGGCAAACTCATCCATAAACCTCTCCGAGTCCTGGCGCACAAAGAAGAGACAAGTCTTGACTCATCAGGATCACTAGATATCACTAGTAGCGATGCCCTTTGCTACTAGTAGCGGACTCTTGTTCCTAGTAGAAAGGCCAGGAGCCCCTAGTAGCGTCCTTGCTCCTAGTACCGATGCCAAGAGCCCCTAGTAGCTTCTTGTTACTACTAGTAAGGCCAGGAATCATCAAAATCACGAGCTTTCTTATCTTTCTTGTCGGATCCTACATCTTTTACGTACGCTCGTACCGTATCGACTGCATATCAATGAGACACCACACTTCGACGCATTGGGGAAACGTGTCGAGGCATTCATGCGGAAATGAGGAATGGAGTGGGCAAATAAAAGGAACAGATTGATTGAACAATGCACGAAATCCGAGTGAGCCTACGCCAACCTACCACAGGACCACAAAACCTGTTGCACTTGTAACTTTGTGAGACGAAGCGCGTTTCCACCATGACCGACAGATCTACGTATACATGATTATACATGCATATAATGACTCATGTAGATTGCTGAACATTGCTGAAGCACATAACCATTTTACATGACTCGGACCTTGGTCACTCGGATTTGGGTGTGCATTTTAATAGGGAGACCCAGAACCAATGGGTCGACTGGATTTCTATTTCCCTTACAGCCTATTTGAGCTACACACCCATTTTCTTCCTAACCACTTGCCTCGGAAAAGGGCCCCCTCAATCTCCCAACTGATTTTTGCAACGCCCAGCCGAAAAGCCAGCCTGGGATGTGATGAAATTGATGAAAGCGTAGCCTACGTTGGTCCGGTTCTGAGTATCCATGGGGAGGTAAAAGAAGTCATAGCTGCCTTAGATCATCTCAGTTCAACAGCTTTTGCCAGAACATGCGACCTTCTGGACAAACTCGCATGCACTGCGCGCGCTAGGAACTCTTCGCAAACGTTCATGCCTAGCATCCCCCGAATCCGGCTTGGTCGATCTCCTCAAGAAGGAGAGCTTGTGAATAGCGGTTGGGGATGTTCCGCAGCATGACTGTGGTCTTTGGCCGATCCTCTTGCGAACCTGAGCTTGACAAGCTGTTGCACAGCTTCAACTGGCAAGCTGATCCCAAATACTCTAGTGTTTCCACCGCTGAAATCTAGATCATCGCTCTGATTCATTCAGACTCACTTGAGGGATTTGCTGTAGCTCGGTTGGAATGTTGATGGGCACCCCCTGGCTGCCCTGGCTTTCTGCATCAAGTAGCTGTGAACTAGATCCATGCTCTTGGGCACGCTCACAGAGTGGTACGGCCTGAAGCCTTTCTCCGTGTTGTTCCGGCGCCGAGATCGTTTCTTCTCAGTGCTCGCCATCGTGGGCTGGAGGCGAATAGAAAATATTTTGAGGGCTTGCCCCTGCTTTCATCAAAAGGAAGCTCCTCTTGCAATTATATTGCTTGGCTGGAAGCACATCTCTTGTTTTGGGTTTTGCCAGCATGACCCTCCATGAGCAAGCCCCTGTGCTTAGAGGGCTTGCGGCTGAGCAAAACAAGACACGGCCAAGTTTGTGAGAAACTGAGAAACAACCGCCATCTGCATGTTTGAGCTCACAGCCTCACAGCACAACACTACCGCGATCAATCAGGACATTTCTGACCTACTGAACAATTGATGGAGACATCCGACTCTTATGTAAACATGTGTGCAAGGATTCGTGATGGCCCTGCTGCGATGGCAAAAACTTGCTAATGGTGCTGCCTCGGCGATCTGCATGTGAATCTGCCGAGCCTGCACACTGCTCAAGGGAAATCACCTGCTCGTGTTCATGACTATGACTCTTAGAATGACTGATGGCTGAGTGGATCTCAACTGATCCTCGTTGACCGTTGAACAATAGTGTGCAACAAGACGCTTTTTTGAAAGCTTGATCCGTACGTGTCAGCCATCAGCCTTTTGGCAACACTCGGGTTTTCTGCCTTAAGTTGGACTGGAGGACGGTGACTGCCACCAGCAAGCTCCTTCAAATACTCTGGCATGGGGCACATGAAGTTCACCATTTCCCTTTAGCTTGGAAGCGGCCCTGGCGTCCTGACTTCTATCAAACAAATGGTGGTGCCAGCTCTGAAGGGAAATAACTAACGGCATAAATATGATCATATATCATATATGTGTACACTAGTAAAACTAAAGGCATGTAAAGATATATAAAGTTTAAAGGCTCTCAATGAATCAAGCAAATACAATGTTTCTAGTAGTAAGATGTAGTAAGAATGCTACTAGTATAGTAGCGATGCCGTTGTTACTAGTCCAATACACATATTGGCCAATCTTGGACCCTTGGTGACCAAGCTCCTCCGCCATGCTCCGCTCCTCCAAGCTGGCTGCAACAGAGCTGTCCAAACGCTCATCAGGAGGGAGACTCCGCACGGCGATCACTGCCACTCCGCCTTCCTAGCGGGTGGAGACCGAGTCCCAATGAATCGGACGAGTTTGGTGTCTCTTCATGTTGTTTCAATGGAGTCCCGTCTCCTTCCCCCCATCAGCCAATGGAAACGCATCCACGGCCGCAAAAATCAGCCGTGGCAAGCGCTGCTTGAGCTCCAACGCGATGGTCAAACGTGCAGCCTCCAGGACTTGCGATGCAAAACCAATACTCTTGGAACCCCATGACGCATGTATAGGGAGTCCATTAAAATCATTAAAACACAAACCTTGGCTGATTTTATCAATAGAGGTTTTAATATGATGTCGTGGCATTCCTCTGCGATGTCATCACGATGCACGAACAGTGTCAGACCACAATAGGTGCTTACCAAATGCGTGTGCTCGGGAATTTGAGCGAACTATCCTAAACTTCGAATTGAAGACCTCGATCTCCCTTGTTTTGTTCAAACCAGACTTGCTGCAGCATTTTTGGACATCAATGATCAAATGCCGGTCACGGATTGCCCCAGATCTGTCAGGAATGGCCTGGGACAAAGCCATGGCACCCCACTTGAAGTCAACGAGCTCGCGGCTCCAGCAGTGACCCAAACGGGCCAGAACGTCCACAGCCCAAATATGCCCAAATGCAAGGAAAGGGACTTCAATAACCTATGTAATATTGGTTAATGCATCTTAATGCAAAGCTCGCTGAAGCTGATATTGCTCGAGGTTTGAGCCGCAGCTGCTGCTGCAGACCAAAATGCACCAAAGCAATGAGCGCCATCTCGCTCTCTCTCTCTCTCTGCGACACTGACTCCGTAATCTCAATGCATTTTTGATCTCATGATCCACTTCCCTTGCTCCCTCTTCCTCTCACCTCTATGCTTGTATCAAACACTGCTACGCTCCTCAATTTTCACTAGCCACCCCCCCCACTACGCCCGTGCTGAGGTATCGCCCGCTCCTAAAGTGCAAACGGTCACCACGCAAAGCGACTTCTTCGAGCACAGCGCCAGTGCTGAGGCGCTCGTCCAAGGCTTCAGACCTGGCGCCGTCGGCAAACAATCATCACTCGCTACCCGAATGACCCGCCATGACCCGCTGGCCGTCTTCATTCCTTACACATCATACTACACGTCCTACTACACATCCTTACACTCCCTCAAGTAGCTGGTAGCAGTAGCCACAAGGCTTCTCAAGCTGGGCGGCAGCACGTGAGTTCCACCCCCTTGCGCACCAAGATGCCGCCTTTGCCAGCACCACCCACCACCTGCCCATTGGACCAATAAAATGCAAATCACATGAGGAAGCCTGCCGTCACCTCCCAGTGTGCCATGCTGATGGCATGCGGCGGAGCGTTCTTGCCAAGTTATGTTATATACGTCATGTGTCTGTCTAATTGGCCAGCGCCTCTTCCTTCTGCCCTTCTAGTCATCTCATAAACATGGCCAAACCGTACTTCACTAGGTGAGCTACATGTCATTGAAGCAAACACATCTGTATAGACAACAGCCTTTCAGCGTCATGTGGCTTCGTGTGCAACTGCCCTTAGAGGGACGAACAAGCCAATGTTGCGGTTGAGCCAACGTTTGACGTTTGACGTTCGAGGCCGTTCGTCAGCGTGCAGACGACGTTCTCATCGAGGCTCTCTCCCTTTCGGTGAGACATCTCCCCGCAAAAGCAGGGCTTTCTTTCAAAGACGGTAGCCAGTGCATCGCGGGCCTGAGCGAAAGCAAGATAAGCTGAGACAAAGAGGTTCTGTGACCGGCCCAAGAAGCTTTCTCAGGTCCTGTGGACACAGCTGAAGGTTTTTTGGAATTGAGTAGGTGTTCAAGTGTGTTTGGCCATGTGCCCCCTGGCTCCCTCAACAAATCGCCCCGACAATCTGATCACTGATAATTCACTGATAATGCAAAGCAACCGGGAACCGACATCGACCTTTCTGGAACTCTCCAAGGAGCAAAGTCCATTTACGCAAAGGCATCCGCACTTCCTGATTTGGCAGGATGGGCTGATTAGGAGGACTATCAGTGCAACTCTGCCGCAAAGCCCGGAGGCGCCGCAACTCAGTGGATAGATCATTGATCATGACAAACCTTACACAACTCCATAGAAGAAGGATCCTACGTCACAGTAGATCGGTTTCCATGTTGCTCAGTTCTTTTCCTGCGCTGGCCTGTCACGTGGCTCGAAGCACGTCGTGGCTTGGAAGGATGTTGCCAAATGATGTAGGATTCAAACACTCACCGCGGACAACGAGTTTGCATCAAAAAGAAATGTCAAATTACTGTGCGAACCTAGCACAAGCAGCCGAAGAAAAGCTTGCACGAGTATCGGTTTTCTGGTGGCGAGCCTAGCGCATTTCCACATAACATCTCAGTCCAGATGACATTCCCAAAGTTGCAGCAGTGTCTGGCAACACAGCATCCACAGGAACAGCCAACCGAAGCTTGACATGCTTGATGAGTGATGCCACCACTGTTTTCATCTCTACCATTGCCAAGCGTTTTCCTAAGCACTCACGAGGGCCTGCATGAAACACTGGATATTCGTAGGGGTCTTTGGGCTCTGCATTCAACCACCTATCCGGCCGAAATTCCAAAGCATCTGCTCCCCAAATGTTGGTTGAGCGCCCCATGGCATAGGAGTTGTAGAAGACACTGGTGCCCCTTGGCACAAAGGTCCCATCTGGAAGAGTTTCAGGTTCGCTGGGGCACTTCGGGTCCATTGGGACTGAGGGGTACAAGCGCAAGGATTCTCGAAGTACGGCTTCTGTGTAGGTGAGCTGGAACAGCTGATCATAGGTGATCGGTTGATCTCCAAAAACCGACTGGACTTCCTGAAGGATCCGCTCCTCAACCTCTGGGTGCTGCATGATTAAGAATAAACACCAAGACATTGCTTGTGCAGTTGTGTCCCGTCCTGCGACGAAATCAGCAAGTTTGTTGTTGGGAAGGTGCGGTAGCACATGCCTTGAAACTATATTATACATGAAACGATGTTACAAGATGTTACAAGACTTCGCCGCCGTCGCTGTTTTGTGGCTGGCTGGGCTGGGCTGGCAGAAATCTCCATGTCCCGCGAGGACGCGATCTGTTGATCCAAACGACCCAGTGACGAGTGCCGTAGCATCTATCAATATGTGGGGAAGGCCAGGTTACTATGCGTTACTGATCATCTACCACAAAAGGGTTGACGTCCCTGCATGGATTCAAGTTTGCATTGGCCAATGCTGATTTTGCTGATTTAGAGTTTAGGCCTGGTTTCAAAAATGTTCTTTCCTCCCTCCGCTGCTTCTATTTTGTCTACTATTCTTGATGCTTACTTACAATTCCATCTTTGATCTACCATCACTTCAATTGTGTGCCGGTCCTGCGATGATAAAGTTCAACACCAGATCGACCAAAAATTCCACGCTGTAGTTTGATCCGCTTTTCATAAAAAGCCCCACAAAGCTGTCTCCAGCGGGCGTGTCAAGAGAAGAAGAGAGTCGGACAACAATCTGACGACTGTACTCTCGAAGCTTCTGCATGTGATGGCGGCTGTGTCTTTCTGGCCCGAGGCCCAAGAACCTCAAAAGTCCTCAGACATGGTGAATATGGCCGTGAAGACGGCCAACCGTTTCAGAGTCCCGTGCATAGGTAGACAAGAAACAAGTAGATAAGATAGGATCGGATCGGGTGGGGTGGGGGGGGGTCGGGTTGGAGTGGGATAGGATAGGGTAGGACAGGATAGATAAATAGGTAGGTAGGTAGAAGGGCGCAGATTGTGAAAGAAAACTCTACAGTCCGCGCAACCACATAACGGTGTCCCACAATTCTTCTGGAGTATCTGCGACCAAGGTTTGGGGTTGCCCCTCGGGTAACGAACAAAAAGGACAATGACTGCCTTGCATACAAGAAACGCCAACAAGGAAGCACGAAGCGAATGAACATGAGCCTCTGTGCTGCATCGAAAGAACCCAAGAATGGCGATTCGGGTTCTCCAAAGAGCCAATGTCGGTTCCGAAGCCGATTTCACCAATTGAGTCGAGTGTGAAGCGATTTAGCACATTGAATATGTCAACAGTGGGCTCCTGGCTCGCCCTCAACAGAGAAATCACCTTGTCACAATTCTTCCTCACTACTTTCCAAATATGCTGCTTGAAGCGATTGGCTGTAAACATCTGGGATGCTGTCTTGCGCTGTTTGAACCACAGGTCCCCATCGACATTGAAAATGCCATCTCCCAAAAGGTCAAGCCCAATGGTGTGGAAGGTCACCCCCTTGACAAAGCTGTCGAACTTTGTTTTCAGCATATATTTCACATTGCGAGGATCACGCGTGATCACGACGGCTGGCATGAAGTATCGCAGGAGACCAAAGTCGAAATAGAGTGTGTCTCCCTCTTGTTCATGGTACTCTGCAAGCCCACTATGCGCCTCGTACCTCAAAATATATTTCCACATTTCTGGCAATGCTCCCAGCAGAAGTCCAACTAGCCCAGGCTGTGTTACAAATGCGCATCCTGTGGGCATCTTGCTAAAGTATTGCTTGACCACGATGGCCGATACCACCATGCATGCAATGGAAATTCCTAATCCAAACAATGGTGTCTTGTCCATTTGACCCATTTGACTTCTCAAGGCGCAGGTGGCCGAGGACATGAGCACCCGAAGGACTAAGATCTCTTTGGCTCGCGGAGTCCTACCCTTTCACCGAGTACCTTCTTTGCAGCCGAGGCAAAGGGCTGCAGTTGCCTCACATGCCATCATGTCGATTAAACTTCTGAGGTTCTTTCGTCAAACAATTGTCCAGCAAAAGCACAGGCACACACCGAGTGTTACTTCCCTAGCCCCCGATATCGCGCTGCCGGCTCGTTAGAATGCGGCCAAAACTCTGACATAAAGAAGGACCATCGCTTCGCTTCCATTCCTGTGGGAGCGGACCAAAGTTACCAAGTTAATTTAATTCTAATAGCTTCTTTGTTACTACTAGTAAGGCACTTGTTATAGCGAGG